CACCGGCTCACACTCGACAGTAGGGCCACTCATACAGTGCTCAATGAGACACTCTCCTTCAAACCCTACGCAACACCCATTCCTCTCTTGGGAGTTGATTCAAGCGTCACCACTCTTGCCGAGGGTTCGTCCACAGTCCCATGCCCCGCCTTCCTATCCGGCGCTGTCACTGACATGTGCGTGCCTTCACTACGCCACAATCTAGTGGCTCAAATAGAAATTCAGGAGGCGGGGTTACGCACCATCGGAGAACGAAAACTATTGTGACATCATCGACCCACTACTAACAAGGTCTTGGCTCGCTTCACCCTCAATAGCAGCGGCCTTTACACGCTGCGAGTACTTTTCCCACAGGTGTCAACCACCCAAGCATAGGCTGCTATCACACCATGGTCATGTCGCAGCTTCTCCAACCCGACCATCCTCTACTACTATCGGCTCGGGCACCCAAACTTCCGCACGCTTGCTGACATGGCCTCCAAGAAGCTTATTCTCGGCCTGCCAGCCTCACTTCCTCCACCACCTGACTCGCCCGCTCCCACGTGCCTTGACCGTATTAAGAGCAAACTACGCCAACAGCCCCACCCTGCCTCACCCTCAATAGCAGCAGCCCCACTGGACCTAGTGCACATGGACGTCTGGGGCCCTGCCCCGGTTCCATAAGGTGGCTATCGCTATTTCCTTCTGATAGTTGATGACCACTCTCGCTACGTCTCTGTGCACCTTCTCCACACTAAGGCTGAGGCCCCGGAGGCAATCATGGCATGGGTTAACCAGGCACATGCTGCCGAGTGGCGCACTGCCATGGAAGCTGAGTGTGAAGCCTTCACTCGCAACCACTCCTTTGACGATGAAACTCCACCTCCAGGAGTTACTATATGTCAACGGGAGTTGGGTGTGGCCTCGTCCTCGCTTGGGCGGAACCGACCTCGTGGTCGGGTGTACAGAGGAGTGCAGCCGACCTGCAGCAGTGGGCGAGCTGGTCGACGAGGTGGTCGACCTTCACAGGGGCCACTGCAATGGCGCCGACTTCGGGAGGGCGCCAACCTTGGGTGGTTGGCTTGGAAAGTCGACGTGTGGAGGGCGTCGACTTAGTGACGCCGACTTCGAGCAGCCGACTTGGGTGGTCGGCCGACAGGAGTGCTGGTCGACCAGGAGTGATGTCGACCCGGTTGTGATCGACTAGGCCTGGTGGTCGACAAAAGCGAGGTCGACGTCGACCTCGACAGGGGAGGCTGGAGACGTTCAGCAGCTGGGCGTCGAATGACAGGGCGCTGGGGTGACGGGCGCCGAGCTCTGGGGACGCCAGGTTTGCGCAGCCGGCGACCGATCGAGCTGGTCGACCAGGCGTGGGTGCCTGGTCGACTGTGATACCCGGCCGACGTATGCGAAGGTTGCTGGGGTGGCTTCTGCGAGGCCGACTTCGGGGGTAGTATCCCGAGGTCGACGTGGCTGGTGGGCGCAGTCGCTGGGTGGAGTCTGCCAGGTGTCTGCGCTGTGCACGTGATGAAGCGTGGTGCACCAACCAGCTGCACGCACCTGCGAAGCAGGCGCACAGTTGTTCTGCGGATGCAACGCTATGCAGCCGACTTGCTGCAGCGTTGGCACACCGTGGACTTGCAACGTTGGCGAACCTCTATTATGCAACGCTGGAGCGGTGCGAGCGCTGCTGCGCTAAAGCGCGGTCGACCATGCTGCGCTGGAAGTCGACAAACAGTCTAGCTAGCTTTGATGTAGTCTATAATGTCAATGTTGTTGCCATAACTGTTGTAAACTTTTGCTAGTGGAACTCTTGCTCAATTCCCCCGTGAAGCAGCAAGTAGTGCAAGCACGAGTAAACAACTAAGTGAACGTACGCAGAGATCACACGAGCATCCGTGCCTAACCCGTAGGCTAGCTCTCGTTGCTGAAGTTATCTTCACAATATCGTTGGGTTCAAGTGGTTGTTTGAGTGAATAGCTTCCGGACGAGGCACCAGTGTTCAAAGCATGCTATGTGGCCAAGGTTCATTCAGCAGCACTACTTTGACTTCTTCAAAACCTTCTCTCCCACATCCAAACCACCCACAGTATGTAGACGCACGAGACGACTTTGAGATCAAATCGATGGACGCTTCTTTAGCATTCCTGCAAGGGCACCTCAAGGTCAGATGGCGCTCCACCCGGTCGTCTGCAGTCTCCCTCTCCTCGTATGAGGCAGAGCTCTATGCTGGCACCATGGGGGCTCAGGAGGCCCGTTGGCTCACCTTTCTACTCTAGGAGCTTGTTTACCCTCAGCCCACTCCCACCCTCTGGTGTGACAACAAGAGCACCATCCACTTCTCCCAGGATCCCGTGTGCCACGCTCGCATCAAGCACATCGAACTTCGCCACTTCTTCATCCGTGACCTTGTCCAGCGGGAGCAGCTCAATGTGGAGTATGTGGCTTCTGACTGCAACCTGACTGATCTGTTCACCAAGCCCCTTGGGAAGGTTCCTCACCATCGCCTTCTAGTCGCCATAGGGCTCTGCGCTCCACCTTCTATACCATGAGTTCGATTGACACATATGGGGGGGTGTTAATGTTGGTCCTCAATCTCATATTTGTACGTGTACTTTTTATATCCTAGTTTCTTGTGGTTCGCACTTTGTGTTTTGTTGGGTGTGCACCCACATCCCAACCAAACTCAAATGTGATCTCCAAGCAATCTCCAACCCACCAATTGTAGATTGCCTTGGGATTACCCCCAATTCCCTAGGATTGCCCCCGATTCCAAACCCATCCATACCTTGCTCATTTCTGATGTACTTAAAGAGCTTTCAGCTCACTGTCCAAGAGGCTCTTTCGGGTCCGCATGCTGCCAAGTGGCGCGCTGCCATGGAAGCTGAGTGTGAAGCCTTCACTTGCAATCACTCTTTCGACGACGAAACTCCACCTCCAGGAGTTAACACCGCTGGGGGAAATTGGCTATTTGGAGTGAAACAGCTTCCGGATGAGGTCCTAGTGTTCAATGCGCGTTATGTGGCCAAGGGATTCATTCAGCAACTGTACTTTGACTTCTTCAAAACCTTCTCTCCCACATCCAAACCACCCGCAGTTCGCACGCTCTTGGATGTAGCCGCATGAAAAGATTTTGATATCAAATCCATGGACGCCTCTTCGGCATTCCTGTAAGGACACCTCAAGGAGACTGTGTCTATGGACCAACCTGAAGGTTTTCCAGGGGAGTTCCCTCCCAACACTGTGTAGAAGCTTGAATCGCCTTGTGTACGGCGTCATGCAAGCCCCTTGTGAATGGTACAACAAAGTGAAAGAATTCCTTCTCTCGTTGGACTTTCACCCATCATCTGCTGACCTAACTCTCTTCATTCGCCGTCATTCTGAGCCATTCTACATCCTTGTTTACGTCGATGACTTCATCCTCGTTGCTAAGGACTCGACCCAGATGACCTCTGTCCAGGCGGCCATGAGCAAGGCCCTTCTGATGAAAGACCTCGCTGATCTCAAGCACTACCTGGGGATGGAGATCACTCGTGGTCGCCAAACTAGCACCATCTCACTCTCCCAGGAGTTCTACATGAACAATGTGCGCACCCACTGCCACCCCGTTGCCGCTGCAACACCTTCTCACAGCTCCAGCTGTACCCATACCAGAGGCGTGCTCTGAGCCATACCCGGAGCTTGTTGGGTCCTTCATGTACGCCATGATGTGCACCTGGCTTGACCTGGCATACCCTGTTAGTGTCCTCTCTCGCTTTGTGGCTCCTGGACGCGTCACTGACCTTCACTGGAAGGCGGCTAAATGGGTGCTGCGCTATTTGCAGGGCACCAAGTCTCATGTACTCACCTTTGGTGGGCTTTCTCCTCCTCGACAGGAAGGTTACACTGACTCTTCTTGGGCCGATGACCAGTCCGACCGACGCTCCTCCCAGGGCTACTGCTTCACCCTTGGGAGCGGAATTGTCAGCTGGCGCTCCACCCTGTCGTCTGCAGTATCCCTCTCCTCTTGTGAGGCAAAGCTCTACACTGGCACCATGGCGGCCCAAGAGGCCCGCTGGCTCACCTTCACCCAGAAGCTTGGCTACCCTCAGCCCGCCCCCACCCTCTGGTGTGACAACAAGAGCACAATCCACCTCTCCCAGGACTCTGTGTATCACACCCGCACCAAGCACATCAAACTTCGGCACTACGTCATTCGTGACCTTGTCCAGTGGGAGTAGTTGCATGTGGAGTATGTTGCATTCTGTTCACCAAGCCACTTGGGAAAGTTCCTCACCATCATCTTCTTGGCGCCATGGGGCTATGTGCTCCATCTTCTCTGCTCTGAGTTCGATTGACGCCTATGGGGGGGTGTTAATGTTAGCACTCAATCTCACATTTGTACTTGCACTTTTTATATCCTAGTTCAGTGTAGTTTGCACTTTGTGTTTGGTTGGGTGTACACCACATCCCAACCAAGCCCAAATGTGATCTCCAAGCAATCTCCAACCCACCAATTGGAGATTGCCTTGGGATCATCCCCAATCCCTAGAGATTGCCTCCAATCTTCTTCACCGTCCTTTCCTTGCTTATCTAGATGTACTTAAAGAGCTTCAAGCTCACAACTAATGCATGGATTTTAAGCTCAAGTTCTGACAATGACATCACATGACATGGCATGAGATCACATGACATGGCATGACATCACATGACATGGCATGACATCACATGAAATGGCATGACATCACACGACATGGGATGCCATCACTTGGCATGGCATGACATCACATGACATGGCATGACATCACATGACATGGCATGACATCAAATGACATGTCAATATATCACATGACATGACATGACGACATCACATGACATGACACCACGTGACATGGTATGACATCACATGGCATGACATGACATGACATGACGTGACGTGACGTGACATGACATGACATGGCATGACGTGACATCGCATCACATGACATGGCATGACGTGATGTTTCTCCCTACTGCCCCTCCCCATGTAACTCGCATGGCAGGACTCTCAGTTTCAACACTTTGTCAGGCTCCATCCCAGAAGCCATTGCTGACCTGACAGCCCTCTCACGCCTGTAATCTTTCATTACTCACCTGCACCATCGACCATGCCATGTCAAGCCACATGCCCCAAAATTCTGAGGCAGCCCAAATAAACAAACAGGAGAAATAACATGGTCTGCGTTTTCTCACTGAAAACACTCCCTCAAAATCAACTCAACTCTTTTCACCCCCCAGAACTCTCAAACCAATACAGTAAAGAAAGATTAAGACCATAGTTCTGGTCCAAGTTGTTTTTGCCTGCCCAGGGTATTTTTTTAGCCTGCCCGCCCGAGCATCAAACCCAAGTCAACAAATGTGCTCAGGGGGCGTCAAGGGTCTTGACCATTGCGTCTATGTTAGGGTCAAAACCTAGACCTGTGCAATCGGGCGAGTTACTCGCCCCGCCTCGCCGGAGTTACTCGTCAAGGGGCGAGTAACGAGTTTTCATTTTGGCGAGAAAGACTTGGCCGAGCAGGCGCCAGTTTTACTCGTCATATTTTCTATGCTCGACGAGTACTCCCGCACTTTTTAGCGAGCATTTATTAAACTCGACGAGTTTTCCTGGGTAGGCGAGTTTTTTTCTGCTCGTCAAGCGAAGGAAAACTCATCCCGTAACCCTAATAGGTAACATTGCCGGACAGTTGGGTACAATATTGTGTCCTGACATTTTTACCCATCCACTTTTCAGATCTTACGCCACCTTCTGGGTTCGTAGAATACTTTCTACTGTGCCATTGCCTACACGCCCAATACTAAGCACGAAGTCGTTTATTATTACTGACGTTCCCGTCCTCATCTGCACGACATTGACGTTGCGCTGTTGTCTGGATCGACCGTCGTTAATACATTGCCGCGCGATTAGGGTTTGTGTATTACCTGCCGGCGGTTTAGTACCTCAACAACATTACCTGGATGGTGCGCATGAAGCAGCTGGCGCATAAGAAAAACAATGGACCCGCTGTAGCAGGTCGCGGATGTGGTGTTGGCCGTGGTAAAGCTAAAATAAAAGAAGGCAATCACCAGATCGGGCTGACCACGAAGGAGCAGCGCCACCTGAAGTGGTTTGCTGCGGAGGCAGATCGTGAGCAAGTTCTCTGGGCTGCCGCAGGAGGCAATAAGGCTGTCAAAGGTGGCGGGGAGGGAGGCTCTGGGCGGGATTGGAGATTTGATAACGAAGATAGTGTGGAGTACGGGGTGGAAGGGGAGGATCGCGAACACAATGGTGGTGAGGGTGGGGACGATGGCGCTGGTGACGGTGTGGAAGGAACCGCCGGTCACACCACAAGAGCAGATCGTGACAATGCTGCTGGCGCGGAGGGTTCTGAGGGGTCGACGAAGGGATGGAGGAGATGGAGGGGGAGGGGGAAGGGGGAGCTAAAAAGAGGAAGTGGGGTGAAAAGGGGAGGGGTAAGAAGACATCCGGCGGACGAGGTTGGGGGGGAAAAGGAAATGGACATGGGAGAGGAGGTGTGCGAGGGAGAGGGAAGGGACGAGGTAAAGGCTGGGTTCAAGAGGAAGGGAAGATTGGGGGAGAGGATACTGCTACTGGGAATGGTTTAGGCACCCTTTCTACACACTCTAATGCTACTGCTGCCCTTCCCACTCCCGTCGCCTTAACGGGATACGTCATTCGTTGTTTTGAGAAAATTCCCAACCACCCTGAGGAGAAGCGTCGGTGTCGCATGTCCATTTCCTTCCCCCCCCCCCGACCTCGTCCAATAAGGAGGTCTCCTTTGCAAAGGCAACTACAAGACCGGCAGGGTTCACATGGAAGGGCAGCATGTTAACCACTTTACCTTATGGTTGCGGAAGTTTCATAATGGGTCCAAACGACTACTTACCTGCTAAGTTGGAATATACGCGTACAGCGTATATTCGCGTATCGTATATACGCTAGCGTATACACGCTATCCGCTTAGGGGTTTGGTTTGGAGAAACGCTTTTTCGGGCAGAGAAAAAACGTTCCGGGCAGGGTGAAATAAAAGTACTCCCTATTCTCACTAAGGCTTGCCCTTGCATAATCCTGAATCCGAATGACGAGTGCAATTGGAGGTGGAGTAACCATAATAGCAAGAAAGCGAAGAAGCGTGAACTCTGGTGAAAGCGGGAACGAAATGACAAGTTAGGGTAGGGATGAGCAAGGTGGCGAACACCTGTTCGGTTCGCCTCGAACGTGTTCGAGGCGAACCGAACAGGTTTTGTTTTTTAGCTCAAATCGTTCGCCGAACAGTGTTCGATGTTCACCCGAACACGTTCGTGTTCGGGCCGCTGCTGAAATTTGCCCGCGACGAACACGAACAGTGTTCGAGGTTCGCCCGAACACGCCTCCACAGGCGAACAGCGAACACCTGTTTTTTCCTAAACTGTTCGCCGAACCGAACAGTGTTCGGTTCGGCAAAAGAGGGTGTTCGACAAGGGGCGAAGACGAACATGTTCGTGTTCGCCCTTTGCTCATCCCTAAGTTAGGGTTAGCCAACAGGGCTGGCTGGTAAGTACCGTGAGATTTGTTGTTTGGGAAATTTAGACAGGCTGGAGTTTGTAGATAGAGTGGGGTTCAATGCGGTAGAAGGGATGGATTTCAATGCCTAGATGGGATCTGAAATCCAACATTTGCCTGACGACTTCGAAGTCAGATCCCCGTTTGCCTAGACTGCGGACTTGAATTTCGACTACGGCGAAATGCTCACCTAGGAAATCCGCATTTTTTGGCGATTTTTTTTTTCGGGCAGCCCTAAAAAAAATCTAAGAGCGTATAGCGTATTTGCTAGCGTATAGCGGATAGTGTATGTACGCTAGCGTACATACGCTGTACGCTTAAGGTGTTAAGCGTATATTCCAACTTAGCTTACCTGAGGGGAAATGACCCAAACTGGCTGGGTGTGGCGAAAAAAACGAAATAGATCCTCTCCTCACAACCCAAAAACTGAACCTCCTCCCCGTCAGCCTTTTAAAACATGAACAACTTGGGCTGCGGGCTTTAACCGTAAAGGGTCTTGACCGTTGCATTTCCATCATAGCTGAAGAGTTGGTGGTTGAAAATGGCAATGTTGGGGGTCTTGATGGGGACATGCCCTGATACTCCATGCAAAATTAAAGCAGCAGTATACATTTGGGAGGGCCGTTAGAGGGTTTAGGGTTCCCAAAGTGATCTCGCCCCAGCGAAAGTACCATTTATTAACTTTTGGCACATGCCCTGCCAAATGTATACTGCTGCTTTAAGAATTCTCAGAAGAGATCCTCCGTGCACCAGGGTTAAAAACAACAGCCGTATCATTGGAAATTTACCCTAAAAAACGGTTGTAACAAACGGTTCCAGGAGGTGTTTTTTGTTTGACGAAAAAAAATGGCCAATGTGTGGGACCAAGTTGATGGCAAAAGGAACCAGGATGAAGAGGACGAACCCCTCCTTGCATGAAGAGGACGAACCCCTCCTTGCATGCGTGCGCTTGTGGGCATGATTGAAAATGTATCCGACCTTCGTTTTTCCCTTTTTTTTTTATTGGTGGCAACAGTTCTCTAACAAAAAAGCACAGTTTTTTTTTGGAAAATTGCTGTAAAAAACGGACCGTATTTTTCGGAAACCTTATTTTTGAACCTTGCCGAGCACAGTTCGGCATTCATCTGGCATGGAGGAGAAGACACACCTTGTTGCTGTGTTGCTTGTACACTGCCCCTCCGTATAACCTTGTGGCCTCGCCACTTGCTCGCTCCCCTTATGCCCATTGCTTGCTGTGCCTTGCTTCTCATGCAAGCACCCCTTGCTGTGCCTTGCTCCCCATGCACCCATTTCATCTTATGTCCTCTCGCCCCTCTGCATCAACTGCTTCTCGTGTGCCCCACCCACGTTGCTCTGAAATAGGAATCTTGGAACTAACAAGATAAAGGGCTCAATCCCGTTGGCCATATTCCACCTCACCAACCTCGTCTTGTTGTGAGTAATCCTACCCACTCCACCGTTGCCAATCTTGCCGGTCTGTGTTTGTGTATGATAGCCCTTCAAGTGGCCTGGGCCTGGGGTGATGTTTTCGAATCCTCACAAAAGAAATCCAACATGACTGGGAGCCATGGACCAAACAGTAAACTTTAACCCTTCCTCCATCCGCAACTCCACCTTCCTTCATCGGCAACTCCACTTTCCTCCATCGGCAACTCCACCTTCCTCCATTGCCAACTCCGCCTTCCTCCATCGGCAACTCCACCTTCCTCCATCGGCAACTCCACCTCCCTCCATCAGCAACTCCGCCTTCCTCCATCCGCAACTCCACCTTCCTCCATCGGCAACTCCGCCTTCCTCCATCGGCAACTCCATCTTCCTCCATCGCCAACTCCGCCTTCCTCCATCGGCAACTCCACCTTCCTCCATCGGCAACTCCACCTTCCTCCATCGGCAACTCCACCCCACCTTCCTCCATCGGCAAATCCACCTTCCTCCATCGGCAACTCCACCTTCCTCCATCGGCAACTCCACCTTCCTCCATTGGCAACTTGACTCTCCTCCCTTGGAATGGCGCCTCGTGCCTAACTTTGAACTCCACAATACCTGAATATCTCCACGAAAAGCTCAGTATGTACACGGCTTTGATTGGTGGAGAAATCGTTTCACTTTTCCACAATGTGCCACACGTTGATTGGCCGGCACGCAGGCTGGGCCTGTAAGGTGAGACGGGCCAGTGAGTGAAGCACTTTTGTGTTTGAGCCGAGCCCACATGCAAGCTCCAACACTGGCTCTCAGCTTGCCGTGACAACAAACCTGGATTTAAGGGTAGGTCGAGCAACTGCTCATCCCGCTTCTCATGTGCTGTCTAGTTGCTCAGGAATTCCTGATGTAAATCTCTTCTGCATGCCGCGTTTCACCCTGTTTCCCGCTCAAATGTTAGAGCCATGGCTAAGTGTTTTCACTCGAAGCTACCCAACCAAACTGACCTTACTTCAAGTAGTTTCATTTTGTTTCGATTTGCTTAATAGGCCACTTGTGCTGTGTGCTGTGTGCTGTGTGCTGTGTGCTGTGTGTGTGTGTGTGTGTGTGCGCGCGCGCGCGCGAGTACGCGCGTGCGTGCGTGCGTGTGCGCGTGTATGCGTGTGCGTGCGTGCGTGCGTGTGTGTGTGTGGTGTGTGTGTGTGTGTGTGTGTGTGTGTGTGTGTGAGTGTGTGTGTGTGTGGTGTGTGTGTGTGTGTGGTGTGTGTGTGTGTGTGTGTGAGTGTGTGTGTGTGTGTTGTGCCTTGCTCACGTGTCAGAGACCTTCAATGGAATGTGTTTTCAGGCTCCATTCCAGAAGCAATTGCCAACCTCACTCTTCTCTCCTACCTGTAAGCGTGCTTCCCGCAAATCGACTCAGGATAGGGAAAAGCTGTTGCCCGGCCCTTGTTATACTTACGATCATTATTACATGGGCAAACAAGTCGAGTTTTTCCTCGACTCGTTCGAGGGACTCGAAAAGCTCGAGTTTCGAGTTCGTTTTTTTGTCTAAAAAACTTGGCTCCTCGAGTTGAGTTTTACTCGTGAGTAAAAACACACTCGTAAAAAACTCGGCAAAAACGGCGAGCTTTTCTAAACTCTCGAGTTTTTTTAATTCGATGAGTTGTAGAAACCTCGCGCGACTTTGTTCTCTCTAGAGGTTGCGACCGGGGACGACGCTGAAATGGAGTTGCTTGCGGCCATGCCATTCTGGTAAGGGCCAATGCATGCTGACAGGCGTGCTGGCAAGTGTGCTTACTGGCATGCTCACAAATGTGCTCACAAGTGTGCTCACAGGTGTGCTCACAGGTGTGCTCACAGGTGTGCATAACCTGGATAATTCGTATTCCGGTGCAGATGGTGTCAGATCATATCACAGCGCACAGCCTTGATAGAACAGGCAGGATTGAAGCAGAGGTCAAGGCTTATGGGGCCAGCTAGGAGACACACCCCTCATGATGATCCTCGGTAGCAAAAGAGACACAAATTCGATGTTTAGTCGCCTTTGACACCTCAAATTAGAGTTGAGCATGTGGCCCGACCCGGCCCGACCCGACCCGATTTGGCCGGGCCACACAAGCCCTCGGGTCGGGCCGACCTCGGGCCAGAATCTTGAAACAGTTGGCCCGACCCAGGCCTACTGACTCAGGTCAAAGGGGACCGGGTGCCGGGTCGGGCCGGGTCGGGCCAGGCAGACCCGCCCCCTTAGAGGAGGCTGGGGGTATTCATCACAATGTGCAAGGACACGTGTGCTCGCGGATTCCCCGTCACCGTGCAAGCGGCCGACGCGAACCTATGTAAAATCGTGCAGCGGTTGCCGGTAAATGCGTCCACTACAGCGGAAACGCCACGGATGTAGTGGGGTCGAAGGAAATTAGAGGTTGCGCTTGAATCTAGGTACCCTAAAAACTACGAAATTGACCTGCGCGAAATGCACTAAGTGCAGCCAGAAACGTATGTCTACGAATGTAACTAAAAGTATGTGCATTTGGGCGGGAAAGCCTAAGATAGGAGATAGTTTAAAGGAAGGTACTTAATACCCTAAGGCCACTAGCTGCTGGGGTGGCGAATGTAAATCGACGGGGAAAAAATCCCCTCGATCGTTTTACATTTGGGCTAGGGTTTCGGCCCTAGCCCTGTCGAAATCGGGTCGCGCACCTGACCCGACCCGATTTCGACATTTTAGACCTGAAATCGGGTCGGGGCAGGCCCGACCCGAAACCCGGCTCGGCCCGGCCCGAAATGGGCCCTTGGGTCGGGTCTGACCCCGGGTCGGGTCGGGTTGGCCCGTACGGGGCAGAGATTCAGAAATCTTGACCCGACCCGGGCAAAACCACGGGTCGGGTCGGGTTGGCCCGACCCGAGCGGGGCACCTGCTCAACTCTACCTCAAATAAGCCAATTGTGAGAACTGAGTCTCGTAGGCAGCCCACCCAACGTTCCTGGCGAATCTTGGCAGCAAAGGACACAGAAGGTTGTTGGATTGGAATGAGTAGCTTTGTGTTGAGGTACGACGGTATGACGGTACGACGGTACGATGGTACGACGGTACGATGGTACAGGTGGGTGGGGCTTCAAAAGTGGGTCCAAGCGACCAAGAGCAAGCTCCATGCCCATGCCACTTTCACCCCATACCGTACGCCCATTTGTTGCACCTTGCTCCCCGTATGCCCCTCGCTGAGGCTGTACAGGTCACTTGGCGGCAACAGGCTCACTGGCACAATTCCTTCATCCCTCTTCCGCCTCACCAATCTTGCCATGTTGTGAGAACACACTTCCAGCCCACCTATCGTATTGCTTCTCCCGTTTGTGTGTTGTACCTTCAGAAAACTCCAAAAAAAGGTACCCTTGCACAGGGGCACCTCAGGAGGGATGCGCCGTTGTCTTGCAACTCCAGCTGCGGGAATTTCTGTTTCTCTGATTGAAGTGGTGTGATGATCTTTACATGGTATGAAAATGTGCTGTGATAGATGTTGTGCATCCTGTGGTCACTGAATGGTTTGCAAGCCAAATTAGTGTGGCACAGGGCCGTCTCATTGATTGATTTTCGCTCAAAAGGGGATGAAAATGGATGCATGACAGAACAGGGTGTGGGTAATGGCAGAGCGAGGACCGCCTGATATGATCGACCGTGATTCAGGTCTGCAGGCTGAGGGGGAATGAGATGAGATGAGATGAGATGAGATGAGATGAGATGAGGGATAAGGAGATTAGATGGAATGCTGTCTTGGCAACCTCAAGGCTGAGAGGCAGGAGAGCCCCGGGGTATGCGTGGATCCCTCACCAGGCAACAAGCAGTTTGAGTTGCCCCTCACCCACCCTGTCAAACCCGCATTCCATGCTACTCTGATTGTCCCACAGCTCCCTCACGCTGAAGCCACAATCCACATTTCTTGCGGTTTCCATCCCGTCCCTGCCGTGTGCTTGACTCCATGCCACTCCATGTCACTCCATGTCACTCCATGTCACTCCATGCCACTCCATGTCACTCCATGTCACTCCATGCCACTCCATGTCACTCCATGTCACTCCATGTCACTCCATGTCGCTCCATGCCACTCCATGTCACTCCATGCCACTCCATGTCACTCCATGTCACTCCATGTCACTCCATGACACACATGGCATGCATGACACACATGACACACATGGCACGAATGGCACACATGACACACATGGCACGCATGGCACACATGACACACATGTCACACATGACACACATGGCACGCACGGCACACATGACACACATGTCACACATGACACTCACGGCACGCACGGCACACGACACACGTCACACATGACACACATGGCACGCACGGCACACATGACACACATGTCACACATGACACACATGGCACGCACGGCACACATGACACACATGTCACACATATGACACACATGGCACGCCCGGCGCACATGACACACATGTCACACATGACACACATGTCACACATGACACACATGGCACGCATGGCACGCATGGCAGAGAGCTCCGGTGGAATCAGCTGTCGGGCTCCATTCCTGCAGCCATCTCTCACCTCGCTGCCCTCTCACGCCTGTAAGTACGCCTCACTGACTCTCACCCTGTCCAACACAGGCATGCCGCACGGGTCTACAGGCACGTCCAACACAGGCACGTCCAACACAGGCACGTCCAACATAGGCATGCCACCTCAAAAGTCGAACACAGGCACGCCGCATGCCCAGATCTATGCTGTGAGGCAATGAAGCTCCACGCCGTTGCCTATCAAGTTTCAGCAAGTATTGTACTGGGTTAGACCCAAAGCAAACCTTCTGAGGCGTGCCACGCTTCAGCAAGAATTTGTTGGAAGTAGGCTTCACCTTATCTGTTACTTTATCGTTACAATCTCTTAACTGAGTTCCGTTTCGGTTGGGTGTATACTTTCTATCCCCAACCTAGCCATCCTTATCCATCCCCACCTCCCAACCTAGCCACTTTGCCCTCCCTCCTCCCCGATGGCTCCAACTTCAATCATTGGAAGCGGATGGTGGTCCTCACCTTCCAAATTGTGGGCATCGTTGGCACTCTTGGTGATTCCGCGCTCACATCCTCATCCGCCTCTTCCTCTACCAATGCTCCGGCCTCCACGGCAGATGCTGCGCCGGCAGCTCCATCCAACCCGGCTCGCCCGGCTGCTACTACCCCTGCCCTTGCAGCAGCAGAACAAGAACAGCGCGCCTTGCTGTACCTTCTCTCCACGCTTCCCACGCAGCTCTCGATGTCTATTTCTCCAACCGAGACCGCTGCCGGGTTGTGGGCTCTTCTCAACAAGAAATTTGCCAAAACCGGCAATCAAGCTCAATTCGGCCTGCTGCGTCAGCTCTTCTCTGTCCTCATGGACCCTGGCCAGCCTGTCCGTGCCTACTTTGACCATGTTCGCGGTCTTGACCTGCAACTCCAGACCAGCGGCTACAGTCTACCCTCTTGGGTGACCATCACGTCTATCCTTTTGGGTCTTCCTCGGTCTTACGACACGCTTACTGAAACGCTTTGCTCGGTCAAAGAAATAAAGGATATGACCCTTGAGTGGCTCGAGGGACGTCTCGTGGATGCTGAGTGGGACCGTGCAACAAAGAATTCGTCGCTCCCTGCTGATGGTGCGTATGTCGTTCAACCTGGACCCTCCAAGCCTCATTCCAGCACCTCTACCACTTCCTGTCGCTATTGCAAGGCTGCTGGTCACGCCATCACCACTTGCCCTCAGCTCGAAAAGAAGAAGCGCAGGCAGCAGCTACAGCAACAGCACCAGTCGCCATACCTGCCGCAGTCTACATACCAGCCACAGTCGAAACCGTACCAGCCCCAACAGCCACAGCAGATGCCGTTCCGTTCCCTCGCTCAAAGCTCGCCCTCCCACCTCTGGCATATCCTGCCCACCTGGCCCATCCTCTCCTTCCCTCTCCTACCTCTGACGTTACCTCACCAGCACTCGCGGCTTCTCATTTGTCATCCACGCCACTGTCATCTTGGATTGATTCTCGCTATGCCGATGTCGCCGCCGCGCACTTACTCCCTACCTCTTGGCTGCCGTCCCTCCCATCGCTACTACTCCTCATCTCCTTTCTCCTCTGCCTTTTCTCCATCCTGCTCCAGCGGCCTCTCGCCTCCGTCCTCACCAGCTCTCCTTCTTCCTCCTCCTGGCTCCTTGACTCCGGCGCATCCTCGCATCTGTGCAATGATCCTCATCTATTTTCCTCCCTCCGTCAACCATTTCCTGGTAGTGGCGTCCGGTTTGGCGGTGGGGAGCAGTACCCTGCCCACGGCATTGGGGACATTCTTGTCTACGCCCGTCACAACAACCATACCCATCCTATCACCCTGAAGGATGTCCTATACATTCCCCAGACTGTTCATAATATCATCTCTGTTCGTAAGCTGAAAGACGAAGGACTCACTACCCACTTTCCTCTTCATGCTCCTGCCCAAGTGTTCCGAGGCTCCACGGTTCTTGCTGTCGCCCATGAGCACATGAAGCTGTTCTTCGTTTCTCTCAGCCCTGCCTCAGCTTCACAGCCGGCCACGGTCTCAACTGCATCAGCACCTCCTCCTCTTGTTCCCGCATCCTGCTCTGCAGCTTCATCTCTTCTTTGGCATCGGCGATTCGGACATCTCAATGGACACAGCTTGCAGCAGCTTCATTCCAAACAGATGGTCAGCGGCATCAGCCTCAACGGTTCCCTTCCTTCCACCTGCATTTCGTGCCTTCGTGGGAAGCAAACCCACCAGCCATTTCCAGACTCTACCTCGTCCAGCTCAGCCCCACTTGACCTGGTTCACACTGATGTCGCTGGACCATTTCCCATCGGCACCACGTTTGGCAGCGCCACCTATCTCCTCACATTCATTGACGATTACAGCCGCTATACCACTGTCTACCTTCTCAAATCCCGCTCTGAAGTCTTTAGCACATTTCAGCGCTATCTCGCCCAAGCCGAAAGCCACTGCAAGACACATCTCAAGGTCTTGCACTCCGATGGCGCCCCGGAATATCTTTCCGACGCTTTTCAAGCTTTCCTCGCTTCGCGTGGCATCACCTGATAAGTCTCTACACCATACACTCCGCAACAAAATGGTGTCGCTGAGCGGATGAATCGCACCATCCTTGACTTGGTGCGATGCATGTTACATGACAGCGGTCTTCCTCGTGGGTGGTGGGGAGAAGCAGCCCTTACTGCTGCATATATTCGCAATCACTCTCCTTCTCGCTCACTCCCTCGCGATGTCACGCCTATGGAATTATGGACAGGTCAGCGGCCGGACGTCACCCATTTTCGCGTGTTTGGATGCCCTGTCTCCGTGCTTCTACCTACTCTTTATCGAGAATCCAAGTTACATGACCGCAGTGCTCCCGGCATCTTCCTCGGCTATGGTCTCCTTGATGGTTACAAAGCATATCGTGCTGATATCCCCTCCATCCGCCGGGTTGTCTACTCTCGGGATGTCACATTCCTTGAAACCTCCCCCTCAACTCCTCCTCACCCGCCACCACCTCTACCATCACCCCCTACTCCCGCACCTGTCACTTTGTCACTTCACCCGCCTTCCCAACCTACCTCCTCACCAGACCCTATCAATCCTCCTCCGCTGCCTGCTACACACGCAGAAACCTCTCCCTCCGCTACTCCGTCTGCACCTCTTTTTCCCACACTCCCCACCCCTCCCTTCCAGCCTTTCACCCTTCCCACTTCCCTTCAGAAACCAGCCTCCACACCCACTTCCTCACCTCTTCTATTTCCTCCTCTTCCAACCTCGACTGCCCAAGACTTTCAGCTCAACTTCTCTGACCCCTCTGTTAACACCATCCTTGACGAAGATCGCGAGTCAGCCCATTTTTTTCACGACTTTGCCTACATTGCTCTTCATTCCCACTACGAGCCACCTACAATTACTGCTGCCCGCTCTTGCCCCGCTGCTCCCCAATGGCTTGCTGCTGCTGACGCTGAAATTACTGCACTCCTGGCCAACCGCACTTACAGCATTGTGCCCAAACCGCCCGACTGCACTCCTATCCCTTGCAAATGGGTTTTCAAGGTCAAAGAGAACCCGGATGGGTCCATCGAGCGCTAGAAAGCCCACTTGGTCATTAAAGGCTTCAAGCAACGTGAGGGCATTGACTACACTGAGACATTTGCACCCACCATTCGCTTTGCTACGCTTCGCTTGCTCCTCACCCTTGCTGCTACCCTTGATCTTGAGATGCATCAACTCGACATCTCCAATGCCTTTCTCAATGGCGACCTTGACGAGATTATTTACATGACCCAACCACCCGGTTTTGAACTCCCTCCTGCCAACGGCTCTCCTCAAGTTTGCCTCCTGCACAAGCCCTTGTACGGCCTCAAGCAGGCTCCTCGGTGTTGGTACAAAAAACTGAAACTGAAATCGGAGCTTCTCACATTTGGCCTTCACACCTCCGATGCCGACCCCGGACTTTTCATTGCTGCACCCTCCTCACCTCTTCTTCCACATCCTTCCCACTTCTTCCTTGTCCTAGTCTATGTCGACGATCTCATCATCCTTTCCACCACCATCACTCCCCTTACCACCTTCAAGACTTCTCTGTCCACTCACTTCAAACTTCGTGACCTTGGCCCATTAACTTATTACCTCGGCCTCCACTTAGACCGCGACCGCTCTTCTCGAACCCTCCTCATCCACCAGTCCAAATTTATTACTGCACTCCTCTCTACCTTCAATCTCAGCCACGCCAACCCCAGCCACACCCCCATGGACTCTAAGCTCCTCCTTCCAACACGCTCCTTATCGCCACCCTCTGAACCCTTTCCATATCCCTCTTCGGTCGGCTCTCTCATGTACGCAATGGTTGTCACTCGCCCTGACATAGCCCATTCTACTGGACTCCTTTCGCGTCACCTCCATTCTTGGTCGGATCCTCATTGGCTGGCTGCTAGACGTGTTCTCCGTTACCTCAACGGGACTTCTTCCCATGGGCTGCTTCTTGGTGGCAATCCCGCCTCCCTCCAGCTGGTCGGGTATTGTGATGCCTCATGGGCTTCCGAAAGTGAGGATCGTCGTTCCCTCACTGCATACCTGTTTTTTCTGGGACCTTCTCTGATTTCTTGGCAATCCAAGCGGCAATGTGTAGTTGCGACATCCTCTTGTGAAGCTGAATACTACGCGCTCGGTGCGGCAACCCACGAAGCCCTTTGGCTCCGTACTCTCCTCTGCTCTCTTGGCCTTCCCCCCACTGGTCCCACCCCGCTGCTGTGTGACAACACTAGCGCCATTGTCTTGGCAAAGGACGCTGGTGTTTTCCATGCCCGTGCCAAACACATTGACATCCGCCACCATTTCCTCCGTGATCATGTTGACAAAGGGCATATCTCGCTGCACTACATCCCTAGCCGTGATAACCTTGCTGATTTGGGGACCAAGCCTCTCCTTCGTGACACACTTCAGCGTCTACAGTCCTGCATCGGCCTTCGCCCTGCTACTTCTTCTTTGATCTCTCCCTCGGTGTCACCTTAAGGGGGGGTGTTGTTCGGTACTTATTTTCCTTTAATTATGCTGAAGGTTAGTTCACTAGTTTGTTTTATGGTTTGTATGTATTTGCTTACATTATAATAGTGTAGACAATAGGGGATGAGTTATATTAGTTATAGGGTGCCCCCTGAGTGACTTTATCAAGTGCTAGGCACCCCAAATTCGGCTTTGGGGCACCCCAGCACGTTTTCCATCCTTGGGGACGCGGCTCCAGCCTGGACCCACGAATTTCAACATTGGAAACGCGGCTCCAGCCTGGAATTCGCGTTTCCAATTCGTGGAATAGCGGTTCCACTAGAGGGGGCGCTTCCAGGCCCACTTTGAGGGTCCCTCACGTCCCCATCTTGACTGTGGGCGACTTGAGCACCCATTTGGCCACCCCAAGTCCCTTGGGTACCAAATTCCTCACATGGACCAGCCCAAGTCGCCTCCAAGCTAGCTCTCTTCACTTTCTGCCTATTTTAGCTTTTGTTTTGCTTGTATTCATCACTTTGTGTTTGTAGACCCTTTTCAACATCTCAGAACCAGCTTCTCCTTGTGCACATTGTGCACATAGGTCTGATTTTCTACAACTTGGACGCAACATCTTAGGATTTCGTCCTGATTGCGTCTCATCCACCCAACCCTCCTAGTGTGCTGTACTTAAAGTCCATGTACCATATCTGATTATGGTATCGCTGCATCCATTTCCCCCTATACGGTCCTCGATCCTCCCGTTGTTCGACCTCACTGCAACTTTTTCTTTAAGTCGTAATATTGCTTTCCTCTCTCGGTATCATTTTTGCAATTGATCTGCTGCCCGCCCCCTTCCATCTGTGTGGCATTTCATCGTTCTGCTGCCCGTTGGTGTGTCCACACGCATGGTGATGATGTGTGCACATGGCATGACATGGTGATGATGTGTGCGCATGGCATGGCACGGTGATGATGTGTGCACATGGCATGACATGGTGATGATGTGTGCACATGGCATGACATGGTGATGATGTGTGCACATGGCATGGCACGGTGATGATGTGTGCACATGGCATGGCACGGTGATGATGTGTGCACATGGCATGACGTGGTGATGATGTGTGCACATGGCATGGCATGGTGATGATGTGTGCACATGGCATGACATGGTGATGATGTGTGCACATGGCATGGCACTGTGATGATGTGTGCACATGGCATGGCACTGTGATGATGTGTGCACATGGCATGACATGGTGATGATGTGTGCACATGGCATGGCACGGTGATGATGTGTGCACATGGCATGGCACGGTGATGATGTGTGCACATGGCATGGCACGGTGATGATGTGTGCACATGGCATGGCACTGTGATGATGTGTGCACATGGCATGACATGGTGATGATGTGTGCACATGGCATGGCACGGTGATGATGTGTGCACATGGCATGGCACGGTGATGATGTGTACAGAGACCTCAGCTTTAACATCTTCCTAACAGGCTCCATTCCCCTTGAGATGAAGAGCCTCGCCAAGCTCCAATTGCTGTGAGCGACCCTCTCTCTCCTCCCTCCAAGTGACCCTCTGTTTCCCCTCTCACCATTCCACGTGGACAGTGGACTCACCATTGACTGCTCGTGCAGTTCTCCTCAGCTGTGAAGGTGCTGTTTCGATGATTGTGTTGTGTATGGACCTTTGTTGGTGTGTGCATGCTTATGTGCGCATGTGCACATCCGTGGGTGTGTGCGTGCATGGGTGGGTGTGTGGGCCGGTGGGTGCGTGCGTGGGTGAGTGGGTGGGTGCCTGCAAGTGTGGGGTATGTGTGGGTGTGTGAGGTGCGTGTGGTGTGGGTGTGTGTGAGATGCGTGTGCATTCGTGTGCATGTTCGCGCGCGCACGCGCATGTGTCTATGGTGCTGCACTTCTGTGTGTGCGTCTATGGTGCTGCACATGTGTGTGTGTGTGTGTGCGTGTGTGTGTGTGCGTGCGTGCGTGTGTGTGTGTGTGTCTATGGTGCTGCACATGGTGTGCGTGTGTGTGTGTGTGTGTGTGTGTGTGCGCTTGTGCGCGCTATGGTGCTGCACATGTGTGTGTGTGTCTATGGTGCTGCACATGTGTGTGTGTGTGTGTGTGTCTATGGTGCTGCACATGTGTGTGTGTGTGTGTGTCTATGGTGCTGCACATGTGTGTGCAGGTACCTCAGCTATATGGGTCTATCGGGCCCCTTTCCCTCCTGGATCTCTGGGCGCACCATTCTCAGAAAACTGTATGCTCTTTGCCTCTCTGTGCTCTCTGCCTCTCTGTGCTCTCTGCCTCTCTCTGCTCTCTGCCTCTCTCTGCTCTTTTTCAATCACCCGTGCTCATACAAGACCAGAGCGGCGTTCTTTTCCCCTCCTGACCTTGCTCCCCTGCCGCCCCCTTGTATTTCTTGTTGAAGATAGGTTGCACAGTTGTTAGCTTCGATGTTTGGTTTCAAGCATTCGTTTATGGAGTTGGTTTAGGTGTAAATGGTTTGATCCCCAATCTACCCAACCTGATCCATCCAAATTTTCCTTGATTTGGATGAATTCCCCTACGCCTCCCTCTCTGTTCCCCTTATCCCTCCATCCCTCCTTATTTAAGCAAAGATGAACTATGTGGCCAGTGATGTGCTCCGAGGTGACTATTGAGCACTCAAAAGTCGGATGAACTATGTGGCCAGTGATGTGCTCCGAGGTGACTATTGAGTACTCAAAAGTCAGATGAACTATGTGGCCAGTGATGTGCTCCGAGGTGACTATTGAGTACTCAAAAGTCAGATGAACTATGTGGCCAGTGATGTGCTCCAAGGTGACTATTGAGTACTCAAAAGTCAGATCAACTATGTGACCAATGATGTGCTCCGCAACATTCATTTGGTGTTCATGCTTGGTGCAGCGCAGCTGTGCACATCAGAGTCTAAGTTCATTCTTATTGTGCAACCATAGTACCTTACCCCTTGCCCATTCCAGTTACGGCATTGTTCATTGTGCATGTGTGTGTGGCTGGTTGCAGGGAGGCTGCACACAACAGCATCAGTGGCATCATACCGGACTCCATTGGCAGTACCATCAACCTTCAAGTCTTGTAAGAGCCATCAACCTTCAAGTCTTGTAAGAGCCATCAACCTTCTAGTCTTGTAAGAGCCATCAACCTTCAAGTCTTGTAAGAGCCATCAACCTTCAAGTCTTGTGAGTGCAATCAACCTTCGAGTCTTGTAAGTGCCATCAACCTTCCAGTCTTGTACGAGCCATCAACCTTCGAGTCTTGTAAGAGCCATCAACCTTCAAGTCTTGTAAGAGCCATCAACCTTCCAGTCTTGTAAGAGCCATCAACCTTCAAGTCTTGTAAGAGCCATCAACCTTCAAGTCTTGTAAGTGCCATCAACCTTCAAGTCTTGTGAGTGCCATCAACCTTCAAGTCTTGTAAGTGCCATCAACCTTCAAGTCTTGTGAGTGCCATCAACCTTCAAGTCTTGTAAGTGCCATCAACCTTCAAGTCTTGTAAGTGCCATCAACCTTCAAGTCTTGTGAGTGCAATCAACCTTCGAGTCTTGTAAGTGCCATCAACCTTCCAGTCTTGTAAGAGCCATCAACCTTCGAGTCTTGTAAGAGCCATCAACCTTCAAGTCTTGTACGAGCCATCAACCTTCGAGTCTTGTAAGAGCCATCAACCTTCCAGTATTGTAAGAGCCATCAACCTTCAAGTCTTGTAAGAGCCATCAACCTTCAAGTCTTGTAAGAGCCATCAACCTTCAAGTCTTGTAAGTGCCGTCAACCTTCAAGTCTTGTAAGAGCCATCAACCTTCAAGTCTTGTAAGTGCCATCAACCTTCAAGTCTTGTAAGAGCCATCAACCTTCAAGTCTTGTAAGTGCCATCAACCTTCAAGTCTTGTGAGTGCCATCAACCTTCAAGTCTTGTAAGTGCCATCAACCTTCCAGTCTTGTACGAGTCATCAACCTTCGAGTCTTGTACGAGCCATCAACCTTCGAGTCTTGTAAGAGCCATCAACATTCAAGTCGTGTAAGAGCCATCAACATTCAAGTCGTGTAAGAGCCATCAACCTTCAAGTCTTGTAAGAGCCATCAACATTCAAGTCGTGTAAGAGCCATCAACATTCAAGTCGTGTAAGAGCCATCAACCTTCAAGTCTTGTAAGAGCCATCAACCTTCACGTCTTGTAAGATCCATCAACCTTCACGTCTTGTAAGATCCATCAACCTTCACGTCTTGTAAGATCCATCAACCTTCTAGTTCTGTAACCCATCAGCCTTCGAAATTGTGACCTCATCAACCTTCTCGCTTTATAACCCAGCAACTAAATTTAAGTCTCTAACCCATCAACCTCTGCTTTTGCAACCCATCAGCCCCTGCCTTTGTAAACCATCAACCTCTACTTTTGTAACCCATCAGCCTTCTAGTTCTGTAAACCATTAAACTTAAAGTATTGTAGTGTCTCCTTCCCCTCACTGCTCCCTATCCCTCACTGCGCTGCCTGACACGGACCTTGCAAGGCCCGCTCCCAGGACCCTAGTATCAATGTTCTCGAGGGTCCTTTTATGGACACACAATTATCATCTGAAGCTCATCTTTTAGCTCCAACCTGTTTGGTCCTCGAGGGTCCTTTTGTTTTATGGGCATTCCTCTTTTTGGTCTGCCTGGTCCCCTGCCTCGTTCTTTACCACCAACCTACCCATCTTTTCGAGAGTCAGCTTCTATTAGTTAGTGAAACTAATCGTTTGAAACTCGAGATCCTTCTGATCCGGTGGCGAAATGCAAGATTTGTGACTACAACGAATAAGGCTCCGGTCAAATTCAAACCTGCCCAACCCGGGCGGACATAGTAGGCATGAGCTAAAACCCGAACTCCTGTTTGATTCGACTCGAACTTGTTCGGAGCAAACCAAGCAGGCTTTTTTCTAGCTCGGGATTGTTCGACCCAAACATGTACATGTTCGGTTCAGTTTGTGAAAAGCCACCAAGTTGTGCCGAACATCTAACGGTCGGGCAAGCATGAGTCGGAAAATTTCACTCGCATCCCGGCCCGGGCCGCCCGACTAGGTTCGAGGTGGGCCAAACCAGGTTCAACCCATGCTCATGCCTGCCCTATCCCTCACTGCACCCAAACCCTCTTGCCACAGCTCTCACTCGTTCACCCCTATATGCCCCTCGTCCACCCCTATATGCCCCTCGTCCACCCCTATATGCCCCTCGTCCACCCCTATCTGCCCCGTGGGCACCCGTGTGCCTGACTGTGTGCAACAGCTCTGTGTGGAAGAACAACTTGACAGGCAGCATTCCCGAGTCCATTGGCAGCCTCACCAAGCTCAGCACTCTGTCAGTGCCTCACCAAGCTCAGCACCCTGTCAGTGTCTCTGCACGGGCTGCCCTTGCATCTGATGTGCTCTGGGGCGCCTACCCTTGGGTCTGATGGGATGCTGCGTTTGAAGCGCCTACGCTTGCAGCTCATGCATCCAAGAGAGTATCTGCTGAGCTGGTCCATCAGCAGTTCACCAGCCTGTCAGCCTGTCAGCCTGTCGGTTTGGTTCCAACATCACCCTCTCACCCAGGCTACCCTTGCAGCTGATGCGGGGCAGGGAGACGGGCAGCGGTACGCTTCACAAGAGCGTATGTTCTTTTGTTTAGGCGCCTCAAATTCGTTTCTCTTCTCACAGTAGAACGACAAGAGCAGAGGGGCAGCACCACAGTAGAACAAGAGCAGAGGGGCAGCACGTGAGCAGAGGGGCAGCACATGAGTAGAGGGGCAGCACATGAGCAGAGGGGCAGCACATGAGTAGAGGGGCAGCACATGAGCAGAGGGGCAGCACATGAGCAGAGGGGCAGCACATGAGCAGCGATGATGACAAGGCTGAGGAGTGTGGAGTGTGTTGCTTGCAGGGACCTGTCAGACAACCAGTTTGAGGGAACCATCCCAGAGGGCATTGGCAACATGAAGGATATTCGAAAGTTGTGAGGCAACACTGTGTGCCCTTCATGCCATGCCAACACTGTGTGCCCTTCATGCCATGCCAACACTGTGTGCCCTTCATGCCATGCCAACACTGTGTGCCCTTCATGCCATGCCAACACTGTGTGCCCTTCATTCCATGCTAACACTGTGTGCCCTTCATTCCATGCCAACACTGTGTGCCCTTCATTCCATGCCAACACTGTGTGCCCTTCATTCCATGCCAACACTGTGTGCCCTTCATGCCATGCCAACACTGTGTGCCCTTCATTCCATGCCCACACTGTGTGCCCTTCATGCCATGCTAACACTGTGTGCCCTTCATTCCATGCCAACACTGTGTGCCCTTCATTCCATGCCAACACTGTGTGCCCTTCATTCCATGCCAACACTGTGTGCCCTTCATGCCATGCCAACACTGTGCGCCCTTCATTCCATGCCATTACTGTGTGCCCTTCATTTCATGCCAACACTGTGTGCCATGCACTCAATGCCATGCAGTTATGTAGATTGTACCTTCTTATCACTGGAGAAGCGCCACCACTCTGTGCTGCTACTGTGTGTGCGGCCACTGTGTGTGCGGCCACTGTGTGTGCTGCCACTGTGTGTGCGGCCACTGTGTGTGCTGCCACTGTGTGTTCTGCCACTGTGTGGCATGAGCTCGTAGGGATCTTTCCAACAACCACTTGACCGGCACTCTCCCCACCACCCTGTCTCGCCTCTCTGGCCTGTTTCAGCTGTGAGTCACAATTCAGGAGGCAGCAGGGGCACATGGGTGCTTGAGGACATTGAAGCGTGGATGCATGGGAACATGGATGGATGCATGGGGGCATGCAAGGAAAAAGGATGCATGGGGGCATGCAAGGGAACATGGATGCATGGGGGCATGCAAGGGAACATGGATGCATGGGGGCATTTATGGAAACATGAATGGAGGCACAGGTGCATGCATGGGTGCATGCATGGGGACATGGATACATGGGTGCATGGGGAGATGGGCGTGTGCATGGATGCATGCCTGCATGGGTGCATGCCTGCATGGGTGCATGCCTGCATGGGTGCATGCCTGCATGGGTGCATGGGAAGATGGGTGTGTGGGTGCATGGGTGCATGGGGACCTCGGGCATGGGGACCTCGGGCATGGGTGACATGTGCAGTGCTGTGAGGTCATTGATGGTATATTGACGTGATCTGCCAAGTCAGGTTTGGTGCACATCATGGCGTAAATGCATATGCGGGCAGTGGGACCCGACCAGCTCAGGATAGGGCCCGGAACGGAAATCGCGATGGGTGAGGGTGTAGCTGGAGCAGCAAGTACGTGCTGACTGGGAGTGGAGTGAAGATGGGCTTGCACGAGCCCGTCTGAAATTGATGATGAGAACAAGTCAATGAGAAACTCTAGAAAGGGCTTCCTACTAGGGAACTCGTTCACTAACTACGAATATAGATATAGCTTACACGAAAGATGGGATGGGAGAGCACGAAAAATAGCTTTCTGGGAGTGAAAGGTCGAAATCTACGTGTGCAACTTAAAAGCTCTGATTCCTCTTAAAAAATTTGAGCTCAGGGCTCCTTACGTACATGTGGAGAATTGAGATCACTCGGAAAATCTCTTAAGGTTGGGCTAGAGATTTTAGTTATAACATTTTGTCAAAGTTTGGATATCCGTGTGTCACTCAAACCATGAACGCAGTTACACTTAAATAGGATACAGAATTACAAGTGCAAAAGTTGAGATTGCACTCTTTCTCTAACATATGATTGGCACATGAACTGACCCATGTATTCTACATCTTTTCTCAGATCATTGGTTGCTGGGTGATGAGGCTGTCATAACTTGAGCTTAGAATCCATGCATTAGTAATGAGCTTTAAGTACATCGGAAATGTGCAAGGTAAGGATGGGGAGAGAATGGGGGGAAATCCTAGGGGATGGGATAATCCCAAGGCAATCTCCAATTGGTGGGTTGGAGATTGCTTCGAGATCACATTTGGGTTTGGTTGGGATGTGGGTGTACACCCAACCAAGCACAAAGTGCACACTACACTAGGATATAAAAGTGCAAGTGCAAAATGTGAGATTGAGGGCTAACACTAACACGCCCCCATAGACGTCAATCGAGGTCAAGGTGGAGAAGGTGGGGCAAATAGCCCCATGGTGCCAAGGAGACGATGGTGAGGAACCTTCCCAAGGGGCTTGGTGAACAGATCAGCTAGGTTGCAGTCAGATGCAACGCTCTCCACGTTCAACTGTTCACGCTGGACAAGGTCACGAATGAAGACGTGGCGAAGTTCGATGTGCTTGGTGTGAGTGTGGTACACAGGATCCTGGAAAAGATGGATGGTACTCTTGTTGTCACACCAGAAGGTGGGGGTGGGCTGAGGGTAGCCAAGCTCCTGGAGGAGGAAGGTGAGCCAATGGGCCTCTTGAGCTGCCATGGTGTCAGCGTAAAGTTCTGCCTCACAAGAGGAGAGGGAGACAGCAGATGACCTGGTGGAGCGTCAGCTAACAACTCCACTGCCAAGGGTGAAACAGTAGCTCTGGGAGGAGCGTCGGCCGGTCTGGTCATCAGCCCAAGAGGAGTCAGCGTTGCCTTCTAGTCGAGGAGGAGAAAGACCACCAAGTGTGAGTACATGAGACTTGGTGCCCTTCAGATAGCGCAACACCCGTTTCGCCGCACTCTAGTGGAGATCGGTGAAGCGTCCAGGAGCCACATATCAAGAAAGGGCACTGATAGGGTATGCAAGGTCAGGCCGGGTGCGCATCATGGCGTACATGAGGGACTCAACAAGCTCTGGGTATGGCTCGGAGCTGGCCTCCGGTGTGGGAACGGCTGGAGCTATGAGGAGGTGCTGTAGTGGCAGTGGGGTGGCCATGGGTGTGCACAACTCCATCACAATTCTTGATGTAGAACTCTTGGGAGAGTGAGATAGTGCGAGCCTGGCGATCACGAGTGATCTCCATCCCCAGGTATTGCTTGAGGTCACCGAGGTCTTTCACCAGGAGAGCCTTGCTCAGGGCCGCCTAGACAGAGGTCATCTGGGTCGATTCCTTGGCAACGAGGATGAAGTCATCGACGTAGACAAGGATGTAAAATGGCTCAGAGTGACAGCGAATGAAGAGAGTCGGGTCAGCAGATGATGGGTGAAAGTCCAATGGGAGAAAGACTTCTTTCACTTTGTTGTGTCATTCACGAGGGGCTTGTTTGAGGCCATAAACAGGGTGATTCTGCTTCCAGATAGTGTTGGGAGGGAACTCCTCTGAAAAGCATTCTGGTCGGTCCATAAGCACAGTCTCCTTGAGGTGTCCTTGCAGGAATGCCGAAGAGGCGTCCATGGATTTGATCTCGAAGTTTTCTTGTGCGGCTACATCCAAGAGCGTGCGAACTGTGGGTGGTTTGGATTAGGGATGAGCAAGAGGCGAACACGAACGTGTTCGCGTTCGCCCCTGCACGAACACCGCCGTTCGGCGAACCGAACAGTGTTCGGTTCGCCGAACAGCTTAAGCTAAAAGAGGTGTTCGCCGTTCGCCTGTGAAGGCGAACATCTTGGTTTCGGAGGCGAACACGAACGTGTTCGTGGCGAACACGTTCGTATTCGCTTTTGGGCATCCTCTGTTACGCTCGAAATACGCAACGGCGGGCAGGGGAATTGCGGAAAACAAGGAAAAAAATATAGGCTGGATCTGGCTTGTGCTAGTTAGGGATCCATATATTTGCTTATCCAGCTCGCACCTGGATTTCCCCCCCAGGTAAGGCGAAATGCTCTCTCCCCTCTAGATCTACGAATTTGCGATTGCTCGCCACCCCCCCCACCATTCCCGAACTTACAAAAAATGCGAACGCTATTCCTATCAATCCCCAACGTACGAAATTCGCGAATGCTTTCCCCAACCTTATGCATACGAAATGTGCGAATGCTTACCCCCAACCAACCCCCCCAACTTACGAGATTCTGCAGTATTCCTGTCTAATCCCTTCCCGACAACCTAAATCTCACCTACCCAAGTCTAGTCAGACTAACCTTAGGCTACAATTTACTCACGCTAAGTCCTAATGAGGTGTTAATGACGTGATGTGTGGGGGGCGTGGTAGTAATGGCTGCTGCTGAATAGCGCGACTATGTTTGAGCTCGAATTTGAGCTCAAACAGAATGTCCCGCAACCTAAATTGTAGATCGCGGGACAGTCGCGACGAACACCTTTGTGTTCGTTTTTGCCCCGGAACGAACACGAAGGTGTTCGTGTTCGTCGCGGCTCGGCACCCACGACGAGACGAACACCGAACGTGTTCGGGCGAACACCGAACACGTTCGCCACGAACATTTCTAGCCGAACATGTGTTCGTTACCTTGCTCAACCCTAGTTTGGATGTGGGAGAGAAGGTTTTGAAGAAGTTAAAGTACTGCTACTGAGTTAATCCCTTGGCCACATAGCGCGCTTTGAACACTTGGGCCTCGTCCAGAAGCTGCTTCACTCGAAACAGCCACTTGCCCCCAACGACGTTAACTCTTGGAGGTGGAGTTTCGTCGTCGAAGGAGTGGTTGTGAGGCTTCACACTCAGCTTCCATGGCAGCGCGCCACTCGGCAGTATGGGGACCCGAAAGAGCCTCTTGGAGGGTGAAAGGGATAGGGATGGTCGGGTTCTCCGAGAAGTTGAGCGAGGGTGATTCAGTGATATTGGAGAAGATGTGCAAAAGCTGAGATATGACAGCGTGGAGATCACACGGCTCCTCATGCCTGTCTTCTAGAAGGGTAGAGGGCACATACATCCATCCCCCCCAGCAAGAGGAGTTGGAGTGATCACTGAGTGTCGAATGGCAAGTGCCAGTGGAGGTGTAGCCCCATGCGACCGAGTGCCATGAGCCACTGGAGAAGAGGGTAGAGCAGGCGTGGCTGGAGGGGACGGTTTAGGAGGCTTGGGGGGAGGGATTGGTCCTACTTGATCAGTTTGCTCGGTTGTGGGAGAGGAGGTTCCTGGGTGGAAGAGGGAACGGGGGAGGGGGTGGGGCTGGAGGGTTCGATCGCCGACGGTATGTGATGGGTGTGCTTGGTAGCGAGGGCGCAGCTGGCAGAGTGGTAGAGGGGGGGGGGGGGGTGGAGGAGCAGTTGCCGAGGACACCGGAGAGGTTGGGTCAGAGACCTTAGACGGAAATAGTGCGATGGCAGGAGAGGTAGGAGGTGGGGGAGCTGGTGCAGGCGGAAGTTCAGGAGGCGCTTCAAAATCAGCCCACACAAGGGAGGGTGGTCCGGAGAGGGGGTCCCCTCCCGGGGTGGAGTAGAAGGGGCGAGTCTCATGAAAGACGACATCACGGCTCCGGACTAGTTGTTGAGTGGAGGGGTTGAGGAAGAGGTAGTCAGGGGAGTCGGTGTTATGCCCAAGGTAAATGCACGTTTGAGTTTTGGGACCAAGCTTACCACCTTGTCGCCGCCGAGCCTGGGGTTGAAGAGTGCGGAGAGTCACTCTACAACGGTAGTGAGCTAGACTACGGGGGTTGGCACGAACTACTAGAGGTGATCGTAGCTTTGCTTAGTTCCTTAGTGTTTGCGCATTCACGGGAGCAATCAGCAAGAGTTTCCACTAGGTAAAGTTGGAATTCCAGAATGATTGAACAAGCAATGACAGAATGACTACATCAGGAACCTCGCAACTCTGCAGCTAACCTGGTCGACCGCCAGCACAGCTTGGTCGACCGCCTGCCACCGTTGCGTAGAGGAGCCGCACCAGCACTGCGGAAACGC